ATAACATGTATTTGCAGAATCACACAGGATATGGCCATCTTTTATGCATTAGCTGAGGGAACTCAGAGGAAAGAGAAGGTGAGCACCCGGAACCACTTGACTTTACACAAATGGAGTCAGGTTGGCCATCACAATTTGATGACCATTAAGTTTTTCAGGTGTTCTTTATCATGGAAGTATCATATTTCTCCATCGATTCTGAAAGATAACTTTGTACAGTACAATAATCTGGGTTGGATCTTTTTTTCTTTTAGGGCTTGAAATACTTTAAATTTTTCTTGACTTAATTGTTTGTGCTGAGAAGGCTGCTGTGATTCTGATGGGTTTTCCTTTATAGGTGATTTGTTTCTTTGCTCTAACAGTTTTTCATATTCTGTTCTTGTGTTGAATGCCTAGAACTTGACTGTTATATGCCCTGGCATTTTTTTGGATCATGGCTAATTGGGGTTCTATATGCCTCACACATCTGTGTATCAAATTCTTTCTACATGCTTGGGAAGTTTTCTGCTATTACTTCTGTGAACAGATTCTTTTTTTTTTTTTTTTTTGGTACCAGGAATCAAACTCGGGACCTTGCACTTGCAAGGCAGGTGACAGAACCAATGAGCTAAACCCGTGGCCCTGTGAACAGATTCTTTATGTCCTTTGTGTTGTCTTCTGTGTTTTCACTGATTCCAATTAATCTTATATTATTCTTCTTTGTATCATCTAGCAGGTGTTGGATTACTCATTCATGTCTGTTGCTATTTTTAAGAAGTCTTTCATTTGTGGATCACCATCCACAACACTGTTTTATAAATCTGAAATTCTGTTTACATTGGTTGATTCTGCTGTGTATGCTTTCAATAGAATTTTTAATTTCCTAGATATCTGTTTGTATCTGTTTTTTGGCATCTGGTTCTTTTTTATGTTGGGCATTCATGGTTTCCCTAAGCTCCTCTCTTTTTTAAAAAAAATCTGTTTCTACTCTAGATTCACTAACCATTTCCTTCATTGTAGTTATTATCTCTTTAATTATCTGTGTGATTCTGTGTTGTTTTTCTCCAGGGACTTCTTTATCTGCTTTGTTATTTTTGCTGCTACCATTTCAGAAATTTCAGCTGGGAAGCTTTTGACTTCTCCCACCTCTATGCCCTCTGAGCTTGCTTTCTGTGAATTGAGTATTTTATTTTATTTTTGGTACTGTCGATCAAACTCTGGACCTTGCACTTGCGAGGAAGGCAGGGTGCCAATGAGCTAAATCCCCTGCCCAAATTGAGTGTTTTAGATTGCATTTTTGCTTCTATGTTTTCTCATTTTCTTTTCTTTTCTTTTTATTTGGGGGCTGGTGTTTTTATTTGTTTTCCACATTGAGGCTTATAAGTTGCTTATGGTAGGTGATTTTATTACTAGCATCAAGATCTCTTTAGATACTTTTCAGAGCCATCTTCTAGTCATAGCTGGATTTTGGCCCTTGAATCTGTCCCCACATCTTACCTCTTCTGTTTGTGAGGGATGAAATGTTGCAGCTTGTTTGGCCTAGCACCAAGTTCTTTGGTACTGGGTTCTTGTGTTGTGTATAGCTCCCAGACAATCTAGGTATTGTCATACAAGGTGGATCAGTTGATCTCAACAGCTATGTCACCTTGGCTAACTTAGAACAATCAGTAATAACTAGAGTATAAAACACAAACTGGAAAATAACAAACTGTAATAATTAATACTTTGTCACCTTTTAACCCTAAATACAAGATTTACAGTTATAGAACGAGATCTAAGAGAAATCAGAAAATTATATAGAGTAAATATCCCATCAATAGAGCAGTTTAGGGGTTTCACCATAAAGCAATATTCAGCCCTAGTAAGATGTATTAACTACCGAAGATTCATAAGTGTAAGTTTTACAGGTATGGCAATATGAACAAAAAGAACAAAATAAATAGATTATGAAAACTAAAGCAATGTTAGATGCGAAGAATGTGATAAGATTGATGTAGGAGGTTCTGTTAAGGAGTAAAGGGAGATTAGTGGTATTATTAGATAACAGTAACAGAAATGACCACCTATGAGAATGATTAGTAACAGGGAGTGGAGATTAAATTAGAGGAAAAGAAAATATAGTAAGGGAACTAGTTGAAAGAGAAAAGTTGAGGAAAGAAAGGGAGAGAGAGAGTAAAAGGAGGGCCTAGTGAAACAAACAAACCAAAGTAATATTAAAGGAGAGGCAAGAAATTGGTGGTAAATCTCCAACCTCCACCAAAAGAAAAAAGAATAGTGAAAAATAAAAAACATGCTAATAATAGTGAAAAAAAGTTCCTATGAATTCTCAGATGAGTGTTTCCTTGCCAGAATCAGTAGTCCTTAATCTTACAAGTCACCTTTCTCCTTGCCCCTCTTTATAGTCTGTGAGTCTGTATGCGGGTTACACAGTTGAAGGGGGCCTCTCTCTGTAGTCCTCTTTTTGTGGCAGCTGTTCAAGCTGGATAACTGGACCAGGGATAGGCATTTTTTTCTGAGGCTCCTGTTGTGGATTCCTTTTGTTTGGGCATCAAATGCTGGTTACCTAGTCTCTATGGGACAGGGTCCCAAAATGTGGAGGCTCCTATGGGCTCTCAGACCTGATTCTCAGTCCTGTGGGAGCTCAGAGGAGAAACAACTCCGCCAAGGACTAATGTAAGCAGATTTCCTCAAGCCCAGTGAGGGTACAGAGTGCTGGGTGGTGTCTCATGGGTGTCTGGAGTACCCAGCAGAATATGCAGCCATGAATCCTTACTGCTTAACCAGGCCAGAGACCTGGCCGATTGTGTTAGGGAGGGACTGTGTCCAGAGCTCTGGCCAAATGCAGGGTAGATGCTTGGAACAACTCGTGTAAACTCTGTTTGCCCAGGACTGGTGGTAGATGTCAGACAGACTCTGGCAGGTCTAGGATTAGAGCAGGGAAGTCAGAGTTTGGTGTGGGCTCAAGCTAGCTTGGGGATTTGCTGAATACTCAAACCAGACCAGTTACCTCTGTGTGCTGGATGAATGTCCTAATTTGCTTGGGATAAACTGCAGGCTTCTAATGATATCTCAGGGGCATTCAGGGTCCAATATTGAAGACTCCCAACACAGGCAGTGGCTGCTCCTTTTTCAGCTCAGAGTTAGAGAATGAATGTGTGAGTGGGTAGAGGGAGCAGCTCCCTGGTCACTCACTGCTGCTGTGTGCTGGCACAAAGTGCTGCCAGGCTGCAGTGTCCTCTTTTGGGAGGGAAGACTATGAGGACAGGGACCCAAATACCGCAAGTCTATCCTGGTGGCTTAACACTACAGTTCCAGTTGGATCTGGCCGGCCATTTGAGAACGTCTCACAATGGCAGTTCCTGTGTTGAGTACAAGCTGAGGCCCCCAGGCAGTCCTGTTGGATTGCATTGTCTCTTTTAAACTCCTATGCGTGTGTTTTGTTTGATCGACAAGTCTCTTCTTTCAAATTATTTTTTTGTAACAGGGTTTATGTCCCTCCCCTTCTTTCAGTTACCTGTGTTTTTAGTTGATCTCTGAGTCCCTCTGAAGTGACTCTTCCGCTGTTCAGCCATATTGGGTCCCCTACTATCTCATGTGTTCCTTAATACATTCACTCAATTAAACTCCTATATCTAAAAATTCTTTATTTTTTTAGTATAAATGTGGACAAGGAAAACTAGTTAGAACAAGTAATTTAGTAAATCTGAAATGTACGAGATTTGTATGAAGCCCCATGAAATTGGCATGTGAGATGACTTAAAGTTCATAACACAAATGACATTCTCCAAACACCCTGGAAACTGAAAGCACTTATTCACGCTGGATCTTATCAGTCACAGTCACGTCAGGGCAGTTTTCACATCCTCCCTGTGCCAGAGCTATCCTTCCTTTTTCTGGATCAATCCTTCCTGCAGAGTGGTGGACATTTGTTAGATCCCCATCTTACGCTCCTAACCTGTTGTGCTTACTGTGGTTGTTATTCTTCACCCAACTTGATTGGAAATTGCTCTTTTATGACAGTTCTTTCATCCTTTGGCCTAAGTTCCCTACATTAATTCTTTATTTTCTTGGTCATTCATGCTCCCTTGGAAACAGATAAAAAGCTTTAAGTGGGGAACAAACAAGTGTCAAATTTTGTTGTAAAAAAAGGACTTAATTTTTTATTAAAATATTTAAGGTGCCTCAGAATGCAGAACATTAACTTGGTCTCATAACTATATGAATTAATGCTATATTGGAGTGAGAATTTATTGAAATTTCTTAAAAATGCTAAATGATGAGCTTTGCATTTTTTAAAATCCAACTTTGTGTTGGCACTTAGATAAAAATATAAGAAACTTGAAAATTATGATGATCTATAATTATTAACTTCATCAATAATTTTTTCCTGACATGACTAATCATGGATATGTTTGACAATTCTGTTTATTTGTCCTTATTGAATATGTGAAAGTTGAACATTGTAATTTTCTTCAGAACCATGAGTAATGTTCAGTGGTTCTAACTTTTTTGAGTTAGTTAGGAGGCTGAGGGAAGAAGGTAACAAGTTTGAGCCCAGGTTCAGCAACTTAGCAACTTAACAAGACCCTGTCTCAAATTTTTAAAAATGAAACTAATACAAATATTTTGGTGTTGTACCATCGAGTTCACTGTCATTCATTTACTTATGTGCTTCATTAGCCCTTGTTTATGTGGGTCATAGAGTATGGCTGGTTCATAAGTGTCTGAGTTCAGTTTCTTCACTGAAGCTTGTCAAGGCTGCAAAACACAAGATGTTGTAAAAGTTCAGCAACATTATAAATAACTTTTAAAAATAGACTCACCTGAAGTATTATATGAAAAAGGCCTTTTAAAATGCCCCAATGTCTTTTTCTTCTCTCCCAAGTTATTTCCCTTAGAATATCCCTGCTTGGGCTTTGCCTTATCTGCTGTCCCCGCCAGTGGACTGCAGGGACCCTGCTGTCTGTCCACATGCTCCCTTGGTTGTGACTCCATTCTTCTTCTCTCTCACCCATCCACAGAGCCTGGAGTCTGCACGGTGTTTGGAGACCCTCACTACAACACTTTTGATGGCCGGACCTTTAACTTTCAGGGCACTTGTCAGTACGTGCTGACCAGAGACTGCTCCTCCCCTGCCTCGTCCTTCCAGGTGCTGGTGAAGAATGATGCCCGGCGGACACACTCCTTCTCCTGGACCAAGTCGGTGCAACTAGTTCTGGGCTCGGGCACCGTCAGCCTAGAGCAGCACCTGGCCGTGCGCTGGAATGGCTCCCGTGTGGCCCTGCCCTGCCATGGGCCCTACTTCCACGTGGACCTGGATGGCTACCTGCTGAAGGTGACCACCCGAGCAGGTGGGGCCCCACCCTGGGCATCTGCTCCCCCTGCTCTTGCAGGTCTATCTCCTTCCACCCAGAGATACCACCAAGAGTTGTGCATCACTGCATGGAGACTGGCAACTGGGCACAGTGGCCCTGTAATCTTCATACACCCAGAACCCTACCATCCTCATTCTAGAAATAGTAGCTGTGCTCTGCAAATAACTTCTTTCTCCAATTTTGTTGCTACCTTAGGTCACTGATGTCTAGTTTGGAATTGTCAGGGTCACTCTTAGCTCAGCTAGTTATGTGTGGTTTCACATCTGGAGAGGAGACAGAGTTTCCTTGTTAACATCTTAGCAAGACCTGTCTCAAAATTTTAAAAGGGGCGGAGGATGTAGTTCAGTGCAAAAGGCTTGAGTTCAATCACTAGTATGGGGTGGATGGAGGAAAGAAACAGAAATGTCCACATCAGAAAGGCTTTTTCTTGTTGCCTCTGCATGCATTGGGTCACCTAATCTAGCTTATCTGTCCTGTGCTGAGGAGAATGAGGCTGCCACTCATGGGTGTATAGATGGGGGGATAGGACCATGTGTGACCAGCAATCCTGTCCAGCCTAGACACTGGCCAAGAAAGCCATCACCCTGATGACCAGAACCACTGTCTTCTGCTGAGGATGCCGAAGCTGGCTTTGAAAGTGTGTCCCTCCGTGGGATCTTGGACAAGTGGAGCTGCTGGATAAGACCTCTCTAGCACCTGATATTGCATCCTGCATTTCCACCCTTAGGGACCCCCAGGCCATGCTTGTCCACGGCTGCTAGGTTTCCACAAGGCTCAAGTCTTTCTCTGCTAAGGGTGCCTAAAAACATTTAGAAGCAGAACCCAGTCCCTGCTTGTCAGCCCCAGAGACCAAGTCCTGGTCATCTTTATACTTTAGGATACTATGTTATGGTTCTGTGTGAGTCGTGTTTGCTGGTTGGATATTGGGTTATGTGTTCTGGTGGCTGCTGTTTTTATTTAAGCATCATGATACTGTAAGGAAATCAGCTTGCTGACTGCTTTCTTATAGATGAAAATTTGGCAGCATGAAAGCATTCATTGAGTTCCAATTTCCTTAGGTAATATAGTCACAAGGGGAAGTGTTTGATAGAGCAGGCACTTTTGAGGATTCATGGAGGCTGTTTCTGCTCTACCTCCAGAACCCTGCTAATTGTTTCAGTTCAAGCCAAAATATATTTTGATAAATTGATTTGAGTCCTTAATATGCCCACTTAGTAAAGAAAGGCAAGAAGCCAAGCACAGCCCTGGGAGCTTTTAGTTAGCAAGTACGTCAGTGTTTCACTGAAACAATGTAAAGCATTAATGTATTCAAACATTCAGCAATGGACCAGGGATTTAGCTCAGTGATTTTGCCCCCTGCTGCGCAAGCACAAGGACCTGAGTTTGATCCCTGGTACCAAAAAGAAAAACATTCAGCAAAGGGGAAAATTTTCCATTCTTCACGTCACACATAGGCAGAACTCGTCTCATGGGTTCTAGAGGGATTAGACATTCTCAGAAAATTCAAACACCTGTTCTTCTGTCCAGAGGACATCCACTCTGCAAATGTAGTCCCTGTCTTAGTCTGTTAAAGCAGGCAGCGCTTTCCAGCTCCCCTGTAAAATGTGCCCAAGATGACCTGGTGTTACATGGCACTAGTTAGAAGCACCTTATCTTTCTGTCTGCAAACCAGACCACCACAGTGGATTCTACCAATGCAGAAATGATTGAGCACAGCCCAGTTCTCCAAGGTGTCCTTGTTCCCTCAAGATTACAGTACTAAAAGCCCAGAAGGTTCAGTGCTGTTCCATGCACAAGTGGCAAAGCCTCATGGAATAAGCCTGTTCTTTGCAATTATTCCATGTTGTAAAAATAAGCAAAAGGGCAAGGCTGCTAAGAAAATAATGGATCACAAATATCATAATTAGATTAGTGAATTTAACTATTCTGGTATTATACTAAAGTTTTATAACTTCTTTTATTTTAACATCTCTCTTTCCATGATGCAAGTAATTTTTATGGTACTCTCCACACCCAGCTGGACACTGCATCCAGGTCATACAAGCCTTCTGCTTCTTGGGAGGAGCTTTGTTCCTCTGGGCACTCTGCTTACTCTGTCCTCATCCTTTGAGTGTAACAACTTGTTTTCCAGACAATCACATTTCTACCCAGGTCTGGTAATCTCTGTTTCTGCCCCCTAGGGTTGTCTTGTCTTCTTTTTATCATCTATCAATTGTCTATTTAAAATGTCACAGCATTTCCTAGAATGTTCTTCCTCCATAGATTCCTTGTTTTGTTTTATAAGCTTGTATGATCAAAGGGGAATGTCCTCAAAATAGTGACTTCAAGGCAGCCTGAAGCTGGAAAACAGGAGGCAAAGGAAAAGACTCCTTACTCAGTGGCTGATGGACTCAGCCTTCAGGATGGAATTATCTGGTAGAGCCGTACAGGTGGCTGTGTAGTTTGCATGGAATTAGGCCTTGCTGCTTATCCTCCAACAACTGGCAGTGGCCAAGGCTTAGATTTAGAATTGAATACCCCACCACACACTGGCCCCAGCTCTCAGGACTTAGCAAATTATTTTTTAAAAATATTTCCTTTCTGCAGTCTATGCACCTCATCAACTCTAACTGAAAGTCTTACATCAGATCACCTGAAGGCATTGGCTTATGATTAACATGGGTTTTAATGTTATTTTTGGTAGAACAGTACACTGGAACCCTTCCCCCACTGTGATATGAAATGCAATGAGGAACACTACTCATTTTTACATGTCACTGTGGTACATCTTCAGATTTTGCATCTCCTCTCTCTTTTAAGTGGGCAGCCACAAAACCATTAGTAATAAGAAAGAAAAGCAAAGCAAATAACATTACAAAATACAAAAACATCCACACAAACAACATCAAACCAGACTAGCAGTCTGCAGCCAGGTCATACAGTTGAAGAGTGAAGAACAAGATGACAAAACATTCACTGCCAAGAAGGGAAAATGGGAAGTCCTTTCCTAAAGCACAAGGAACATGGCTGCTGCTCACATCCCCTGAGGAGCATATGCTTCAGCTTTAACCTTCTGCCTCTGCCAGTTGTTTCTACCCAGTTTCCCATGCTGAGAATTGGAAAATGCAGCCTACCTGTGGAAAGGACCATCGTCAACCCCTCCAACACTTCCACAATGTGTCCCTCTCATAAGACGCCAATTTAAAATATCACTTGGAAAAGCAAGTCCCTTGATTACCACTTACTAGCTTGTTTTGTTTTGTTTTGCCTTGCCTTCATGACTACAATCTTCTTTGCATGAATTTTACTCTGGAGGAAGGTAAAAGTATTCACAGAAACACATATGTAAATGGTACAACAACAGGCAAAGACACTAGACTAGAATAAATCACTTCTCACCTACATAAAGCCTAGCATCAGTCTGTGAAAATCCTCTTGGTGTTATAACAAAGAGGAGAAAGGCGAGTGATGATAATTTGTAAATTATTCTCTTACTCTGAGGACCATGTCTTATGATGAAATGTCATGGGTTTTTGGAAGTGTTCTTTGAAAACATAGATCTATATCCTCTCTTGCCCTTGTGGACCACTGGTCCACTATGAAGGAAGGGCACAACAATTGGCTTGTTCCCTGTGAACTAAATTCCCATGAACTGAGTGGCCCAAAGGCTCACATTTATTATTTCACTGTCAGTCATGAAACTGGAGCTCCTTTGGGTGTAAATTCTCAACTATTTGTGTCACTTGGAAGAACAGTGTTTGCCTGCTGCCTAGGAAAGAGATTTGTAGTATGGAAAATTTTACGACATGGAAAATCTTTGGGATTATGATCTAAAAGTTGATTTTTGTATAAAACTGATTTCCTCCTCTCATTTCTTTTGCTTGTATCTGCCTAACTACAGGCTTCTGAGGCCAAGTTTCTTCTATACCTTGGAGAATATATTATAACCCATTTTATAGTTTGCTTGACTCCTTTAAAATGATTGTCTTAACTAGCAAAAACATCATGTATTTTCTTTGGTTTTGAAGATTTGATGCATCAACATTACAAGGGCAATTCATTTAGTTATTGATTCCATACCATGTGCTGGATGAAGGTAGGAGGACATGGAAATCATTTGCATTCCAGTTGCAGTTGTCAGAATTGACATCACACTCTCACAGAAGACCCATAGGACATTCCAGTAATCTGGCCCTTTTCTCCTTACCTGACCTCATTATTGTCCTCTCTTCAGCTAGTTACTCCCAGGAGACACTTTCCTATGCACTTCTTGTTTCTTACTTTCCAAATCTGTTTAATGTCTTTTCTGAATCCAGCCTCTTCTCCCAACCAAGAAATCTTCTCCACCATTTACCTCGGATTTAGAATGCTTTGGCTTCATACAGGGATTTCTGTATGGAGTTTTCTACTTCTTTCTTGCAAACCCCAGCTTTAAACCTCTAGGTTTCCCTTCTAATAGTCCACCCTGAAAAAACCCTTGTCTTATGCACTTGTGTGGCCATCTTACCACAAGGCCATGGCGCTGGCCTTCTCTCCCCTCAAATTGGTTCAGACTTGGGCAGTGTCATGTCGGTACTTCTTCCTGATGTTACATCACTCTGATGTCCTTGCCTGTGCCAGTCATGTCCTGATGAGATCCATTGCTCTCTCTTTCACTGTCCCTCTCTCTCTCCTTCTCTTCTCCTCCACTTCCCTTGCCTGTATTTCTCCTGTCTCACCACTGCCTTGTCCCCAACTTCTGAACATTTGGTCATCAGCTTAATCTTGGTCTTTTAGGAGCAAGGACAAAGAAAGCCTTCCAGGAGAGGACGTTTTTATTTTTTTAAAGGCTCAGGCCTTCCTTTCTTTTCAGGAAGATGAGAGGGTAAGATTTAAAAATCACAAGGAAGGACCTAAAATGTACCAATGAAAGAATTTAAGCAAAAAATATAAATAAATAAAAGAGACTGGCTCTGGTGCAGTAGCTGTGGAGAAGCCCCAGGGTGGGAAGGTGTGTTGATCTGCTGTGGGTGCCCCATGATGTTCATTCATAGTGAACATTTTTCTTGTGCTGGTGCATAGTTCACGCACTTCCTGGTTGCTGGGCATAGTACTGCAGGGTATCCCAGGAGGAGAGTAGGAAAAGGTTCCCATACAGTTAACACATAGAGAGCTAGAGGAAATATAGTTTGCTTTGTGTTAAACCTCAAGGCTTTGCACCAATATCTCTCCTTGGTCTTGCGCAGTGTCCTCTCATACCATAGCAGAGTGGATCTGAGAGGTTCTTCCTGACCTCTAGTCAGATGGCCTGTGCTGTGTGGCAACAAAGCCTGGCTGACCTCCATGTGACAGAAGTCCCACTGTGCAGAGAGATTGGTGGCTCACATGGATCCTGGACATCCTGGGCTAGTGTGTCCGGAGGAGTATACACATGGTCAGACCAGCTCTCCCACACTTTAGAAGTCAGTTCAGCAAGACAAAAAGGAGCTGTGCTCCCTCTTTCTTGGAGCAAAGAGAGTGTCCTTGATGACCAAAGAACTGGCTGGATGATGAGCACAAAAAGGCTTCTGTCCATTGGTTGGGGCCTTCAAGCCACCTCAAAGGAGTATACCAGGGTTGGATGCCTGGGATGGAAAGAGGAAGGTTTCCCAACAATTCAACCCCTGGAAACTTGGGTCAGTGGTTTGTGTCTCAGGAATAACCATAAAATCATGAAGGAACAAACATGTCCATTTATATGAGTCTTGGCCTTTGCAGATGATGTGTTCAGAACCTTATTCGTATGTTCATTGATTTTATATTCTTATTATACCAAAACATTTGGAAAATTTCCTTTGGCATTTGGAAGAATAATTACATGAGGAAATCGTTGGATAAAGAACTGTCATCTTTATTTCACAATAGTCATTGGATAAATGAAGGCACAGTTTGGACTAACAAAAATACTTTAAGAAAGGGCAAAAATATAAACCCTAGAGTATCGTGGTTGGTCTAAGAGTAGTTGTCTATAGAGGTAAAAATAGGATCACATAAGGTATTATAAAGGCAAATTGTGTACAGTGTAAAATCCTAAGCTCCACAAGCGATGATCTGTATAATTTATGTTCTTTAGTGTAGTGAGATTAAAAGGTAGCTGAGAATTTGGGTAGAACTGTTGTTTTCTTTTGAGAAGGGGATGGTTCTTGTTAGAGGGTATAGTTTGTAAAGATGTCTACATTTGGGGATTTTTAGGGGGTTCAGGAGTGCTTGATCCTGCTTTCCTCTCTTTAGGTTTGGAAATATCTTGGGATGGAGACAGCTTTGTAGAGGTCATGGCTGCTCCTCATCTAAAGGGAAAGCTGTGTGGTCTTTGTGGCAACTACAATGGACATAAACGTGATGACTTAATTGGTAGAGACGGCAGCTTCAAGTTCAATGTGGATGACTTTGCTGAGTCTTGGAGAGTGGAGTCCAATGAATTCTGCAGCCAACCACGAAGGAGACTAGTGCCTGAACTGTGCCATGGGACAGTGAAGGTGAAGCTGCGAGCCCATCGAGAGTGCCAGAAGATCAAGTCCTGGGAGTTTCAGACCTGCCACTCCACGGTGGACTATGTCACATTCTACAGGTAACCTCTATGTTCTGGGGATGAGTGGGTCACAGACCAAGGACAGACTTGACCTTGTGACAGAGTGTATTCAATCTCCTCCCTTGTAAACAAGGGCCCACAGTGAATAGTCCTACTCTGTTCTGTCTAGCCGCTGATCTTGTCCTGAGTCTGCCCCATGTCATGTTCCCAGTTAGGAAATTCTGGGAAGTGTTCCAAGGTGGTCTTCTCTAGGCAACTCTGTATTTTTCAGTGTCTCTAGTTTTCCTGGGAAACTGATGACACTCTGGAGGTTTGTCCAGGATTTTTAGCTTTACTGTTAAGATTGGAAAAGTCTTCCTAAATTCCAACTCAAACCACAAAGGTCTAGGATAGAGTGGCTTGCTAAAGTGAAGTTGGTAATCATCTTGGCTGCCTATGGGTGTTTGTATGAACTTAGTTATTCCAGGCTGAGAAAGACTCCAGATTAGCTCACTGGTCTACCCCAGACCCAAATGCACGTAGTAAATGAGGAAGCAAAGTGAGGAGTCCTTAGTTCTTGGCCAACATCAGACTTTGTTGTAGAGTCAGAGGACTTTAGAAAAGGGCTTAAGTTGGAGGAAATGATTCCATGACCTTTTCTAGCTCTATTTAACCCACTTTCCACACAAAGCCACATGGCATGAAGGAGGCCTAGGTCTGATTTCCATGCTGCCAGGTTGTGCTTGTGGTTTGTGAGTCTTGCCTGGGTGGGCTTCCATTTTCTAGACAATCCTGTGACCTCAAGAGCTAAGGCTGGTGATAGGTATAACCACCGTGGGTGTAGGAAAGGCATGAGCTGAACACAGCCCAAAAGGCCTTGTTTAAGTGATTTCCCTGTGCCTCTTAAAATTAGGAAATTGCCATGTTCTTCAGGCACAGAGAGGTTATTTTTACTTTCTAACTGCCACCACTTGATTTCCCCCCATCTCTCATTAAATGTGATCTTTCTTTTATTTGATCTTTGGACATAAAAGATAAAGTTTTATAAAGGCAGCTCCAGGTGGGATAGAAAAAGGAGTGTCCCTGTCACTGCAGATCTCTGAGGATGGCTGTATCTGCCAGACCACTGGGCCCCAAGTCATGCATTTAGCTCCTTCAAGCCATTTTTCTGTTATAATTTGAATTATCTGGGTTCTTTTCTTTCTCTTTCTGATACAAACTCCCAGATTGGCCCTACTCCTTTTCTGTTTCAATTGAGGGATTTCTTAAACATTTTTTGTTATTAGTGTATGTTTAGAATGCATAGTTTCTGGTCATCTTGAGAAATTGGTACATGTATGGAACATGTCTTAATGGGAGACTGAGTTCAGCACCTGGTCAACTCAGGCATCATTAGGAATCTAAACAAATTCACTTGACATTTGCTGGGAAGCAGTAGAATACAATAATTAAGAGCTTTGTGTAATGAGTATGCTGGTGCATGCCTGTAATTCCGGCACCGGGGAGGCTATGGCAGGAAGATCACAAGTTCAAGACCATCCTAGCCTACGTAGCAAGTTCAAGGTTGGCCTGGACTACATAGCGAGGCCATGTCTCAAAGTGTTGGAGTCTCCCCGGGCTCAACACTCAGGTAGGACATGGAACCATGAACAAGTACCTAAGCTCTCTGAACTTCAGTGAGCCTGTCTGTGAAATGGGATACCCAGGATCTGCCTTTCAGTGCTGTCTTAGATTCAGTGAGGTTATTGTTGCTATTGTCATTTCCTCCACTATCGATAGTTGATCAAATAGAGCAAGGCTGCTTTGGGAAGCTCCCTGAAATTTCCAGAACAGATTTGCATTGGACTCTTCTCTTCTCAAAGTAGAATGGAAAGGCAGAGCCTATCCTTTTGGTTTTTATTCTTTCAAAGGGTTATATTGAGAACAAAATTGGAGAGCAGGCTGTAGGGATGAGCACCTTTCTCTAAATTTCTATTTCTACTGCCTTTGGTGAACTAATTAGTGCTATGATCCCCAGATTACAGCAGGAGTGCAATGACGGCATTGGCAGTAGGTGTGAGAATGAGTTCATTCATGAACGAAGGGAATCAGAATTCTCCAGTCAGCTTTGATCCCTTTCTGCCCTTCATACAGAAGCACAGTGGAGGTCATTTGTATGGTCAGGGGCTTGACATGCCCAGTGTGGGTACCTCAAGGGTGGGCTCTTGGTATCTTTGTGCAGGGAGCCCAAAGATGGCATGTACAGGAAGGTGGGATTTTGCTCTGCCTGTTGTGGCTTATGTGTGATGGCAGAGGACCCTTCTTCCACCTGCCACTCTTCCCTGAAAAGGATAGAGCTGTAGGTACTCAGGAGACAGTGCATGATGGTTCTGCCTGCCCTATATCTCTGTTGGAGTTTTAAATCCCCAGAAGGATGCACCCTTGGGCATCAGGAGGGAGGTGGTCTGTGTCACTGGATGCTGGGTGTTTCTCCTCTCCTAGCACATGTGTGGCAGGAGAAGCAAATTTACAAGGTGGAGTGAAGAGCCATTCTCTTCTTAGGGAAAACCAGGAAGGACCAGATCTCAGGGTTTCCAATGAGACTGTAAAGCTGGGAGAGAGGGGGAGGGGAGCCAAGCTGGACCCATTCCTGCTCTGCCACTTTCTAGCCCTGTGACCCTGGTGACCACTGAGTTTCAGGTCCTTTGGTCTGGCATTGCTGACAAGTAGGGCTGCTGCTGTGAGTATGGATGGACAGAGAAGATTACTGAGTGTCATCTGCCCTCGTTCTCCATGTGGCAGTTACCTTTTTGATCATTAGCATCTCTTCTCTCATCAGGAGAACTGATGTGAGATTCCCACCAATGAGGTTTTGGAACAGTTGCACACTGGCAATTGACCTGGCTCTCTCTTATGACACTGAAAGATGAAGGGTCAATAAGGGTTGCATTGCTATTATTTTTTTTATTATTCTTTTATTGGTACATTTTAGGTATACAATACGTTTACATTTATCATTGGGTGTTTGTACCTGTACATGATGTATCTTAGTTCTTATTTTTTTCCCCATTGCCTGTGCAACCTTCACCCCCTTCACCCTTCCCTATTTACATAAATTTTGTTTCCATTTTATTTCTTTTCTCATAATTTTTAATTTCCCTTATTCCCTTTCCCCTTCCCCTCCCATAACCCCTACACCTTTGGACATTTTCCTATTTCAAATTATGAATAATTCATTTTAATCCTTATTTACACTCTCAGTTTCTCAC